TGGTACTTATCTCCATATTTAATGTAGTCAAGCGAGATGTTAGGCAAAACTTGAGTATGTTGATCATTCTTATATACTAAAAGTTGACTTTCAGTATGAAGCGTGGTACACAATAGTATAGTTATCGTTCGAATAGACACAGACGGGATATACTTTGTCTCTAGAGTTAAGTTGCTTCTGGAAATATCGTACAATGTGCATCGACTACTAACGTGACTACAGATCCACAACTGATTACCTAGTTTTGCGGAGACTATCTGATTAGGTAAATACGTGACTGGAGTTTGTTTCAAATGTTGACCTTCATTTGTGTAAATGGAGAGATTATAGGATTCTTTATCGGATGCACAGATGTAATCTTGTGTGATCGTGAAACTTTGCAAATGATTATTTCACACCAATTTGAATCGATTTCGATGAACCGGTGGGTAGCTTTGTTCTTTCGTATAAGAGTAAATACACACTTAGCCCACATCATTAGCAATAAATATTAGCTGATGCTCGGTACGAATAACAGTGATAAAGAGAGGTGCGAGTAGAAAAGAAACTGTATGCCGAGCAGTTGGCGACAATGAAGGGGCGCTCTCTGAAGACCATGGTGATGCAGTTTGAGGAGAATTAGTGGTCGTTTTTCGATACAAATGCATTGTAATCGACTGTCTTGTTCGTTGATGCTACTGACTAACGAACCGAAATCGATTTCGGAGTAGGGATGTGCGCGGGTACCATTATCGTACCCGTATCCGACCCGACCCGAGAACTTTGTACCCAGCTCGTACCCGGCTTATGCCTAAAACTTTTCTCCTTTTTGTTTTCAAGCTAAAAACGTTTGTTTTTTCGGCTGCAGATGTCCAGTTATCACTACCTTCTCAAGTAATTCTTTTTAAACCTTCATGTGTTTTAGCTAAGCTCCTGTATTTTTCCCTAAAATCTTCTGGGTTTTCCGCTAGAACCTTCCGGTTTTCGGGTAAATTAAAAAAGGAACATAGTTTTTGGTCAGCAAAATTAATGAAATGGTCAGCAATAAAATGGTCAGCAATTAATTATAAAATGGTCAACTTTTTATATATAAGGGTCAGTAAAAAATTCCAATTTGGTCAGCGAAAAATGCAAATTTATCAGTAAAAATGCAGATTTTATCAGCAGAATAAATAAGTTTTATTCATATAAAGATTAATTTAGTATACGAAAAATAAATTTAAATAAAATTAAAAAAACACAGAAGAAATAAGAATAATTTAAAGAACGAATGGGAGGAAAAAGAAAATGAAAATCCAACTACTGTACTAGCAATGCAGCAATGCAATTATCGGATGGATGATAATGAGATAAGAAAGTGATCGTTTCACACGCTGTTTATTTATGCAAAATCATCAGCTTTATATAGGACGGGATATCACACATCTTTAGGAAATATCCAACCGGTGATCGAGGTAAAGTGATCGGAAAATTCCCATTAGATATAATACATATGAACAATAACACATAAAGAAGGAAAGTACAAAATTCGCATTGGGAAAATGGGAAGAAAAGAAAAAGAAGAAGAAAAGACATATATGTATGTCATACTTGTCATCTGTACGATGTAACAGAAGGAAAGAAAAACAGAAAAAAAAAGTGAATCACCTTATAACACATTCCGATTTTTGTACTGACCCTTTCATTTAATTTACTAATTTTTAAATATATTGGCGAACCAGATTATTTTAATAACTGACCATTTAAATAAAATACTGATCATTCATTCAATCTACGGATCATTCATTTATTCTGCTCACCATTCATTTATTTTACTGATTTTACAACTATTTCGCTTGCTGACCATTTCATTTATTCTGCTGACCACTTAAATGATAGCCCAAAAAAACTATCAGTCACAAATGACGAAACCGGCACGGGAAAGTCATTTAGAAATACATAAAAAGTAAAGGGCAAAGGATGGACCCTTCTGGCATCCTCGAGAGCCCCGCCGACTGAAAAGAAAAGCTCCCACCAGTCTTGACAAACTGAGTACGCTCTGTAAAATAAGATGTAAACCAACTAAACGGACTCCTATCGATACCAAATAGTTTTAAATTATTTCAGAGGAGGTCGGCCGGAACACGATCGAACGCTTTTGACAGATCAAAAACTTAACCCTACTCTTTTTCTGGAAGAGAGTGACGGACGGTTAAAATCATGACTTTTTTAATATGAAGTTTACCACAAACAGACTAGCCTGAGCCTCGATTTCTGGATATTGATCCCAAAAACCCCCAGACCTCTTTCCACCACGGCCTCCAGCAACAGAACCGTCGAATTCTTGATTTAGACAACATCTGGCCATTTGTGACACGTCTTCTCGGTCATACTGCCAATTGAATTCAAGAAATGATCAACATCTTGAGAAGGAACATTGAAATGCTTGAGGCTCATATAAACCTTAGCACTGAGATATCTTGTATTACAAGTTTCAAAACACAGACTATAAATATCTCCGATATTTCCAACATACTTTTAGGTGAAAAATAAATATTTCTAGCGTCGATAAATTCACCATCATCGCTGGATGAGTCGTTGTTTTTCTGTGAGAAGTTTTCTCTAGAATACTTTTTCGATTATTATTAATAGTGTGAGATCAGCGTTTACTTATATGAGGCATTTTCAAGATTTAAAAGAATTTGAAAGTTAGAAGAAATCGTTAGATTCACCGGTTGGCTACAGGAGTGTCATATATGATACCTGATTCTTCGCACTGATACAGGTCCAGATAACTACATAAAGTTTGTCTTTTTTCTTTTTCTTTTTGTTGTTGTGGGGTTCTTCTTCTATACTGCGTATACTCGTTGTGGTATACATATAGAGAGAATAAATATGTGTTTTAACATTGGATGCATTTCATAAAATTGTATCTGTAAAAATAAACCCGTAGCCAAACGGTTAATTATTTAATTAATGCTCACCTTGTGCTTGTGCTCTCTGAACTATGACTCATTCTGTGTGGCCAACTGACGGCTGATTGATTCAACCAATGAAAACTGAGCCCACGATCCTTTCGGGCTGGTACGCAAGTTGGCGTGCTAAATGTGTCAGCCTTGTCTCTGAGAAGAAGTGCTAAAAGAGTTTTTGACATGGTAAGCAATTCAGAGAGCTTTCAGAACACTCTCTCGACTTCGAAAAAATCTTCGTCGGCTTCAGCATGCTTTTCTACCTATTCCTTGTTAATTAGAGCGATTTTGAGCGAAAACTCGAGACCTTAGTAAAAAATCACTTAGTCATTTGTACCGTTTTCCAAATGAAACTGAAATATCTCAACAGGAAAGGAATAAATCAGAAATCCGCAGCTATAACTTTGTTCTCCGGTTCAAGGCGGTTCGAATGCCGTGTGAAACAAGGCTTCATCTCCTAGGGTAAGAAACTTGTTTTTTTTTTTGATCGGAGGATCACGTTTTTGTGTTCTCTTGGAAACGAAGTTTTTTACTACCAGCTTCGTAATATGCGAAAACTTCAAAATCACATTTTCATATACAGTTTGTAATGCTGATTTAGAAAAAAATGTTTCAAAGCTCCGAAATGCAATAAGAAAAAGTTATCGTCGGTTTTTGTTGAGGGATGAGTTTTCTCGATTTTAGCATCCGTTCCGTATTTTTCATTTTTCACCGCGAAGGAAAGATTTGAGAAGATTTTAAAGGTGATTTTCGGATTCACCTCTCCTCTATCCAACGATGTGTAAATATTGAGAAAATAAAATCGTGTCGTAACTATGAATTAGCTGCATCTTATAAATCAGTCAGTTCACGTCTATAAACAATGAAACTTTTACCACGAAAAGCTATCTATGTGATAAAAATCGGCTGATTTTTGGCAGTTAACCGCGGTTTTCGTAATCGACACTTGCGTAATATTATGTGAAACGACTGTAAACAGCGCTGGTCTGCAACATTTGACAATTTAAAACAAAATAATGGTAAAAAAGTCTGGGAGTTCTGTGTGAAGTTTAATCATGATTCCAAAAAGGGGAATGGTCGTCCACAAGGGAGTGTGTTAAGTTCGCTTCTCCTCATTCGATTTCATTTACAGATGCCAAAAATTCTGCTAGAAGTGTATCACCATTTCAGCGCAGACGATCTTTCCATCTTAATTATCCCACCACTTTTTCTCCTTACCCGAACGACAAACTACCTTGGACATACATTCAAATGATTGCCTGGTTAAAATGCAGAGGACAGTTTGTATTAATACTCGTAGACTAGTTCTCTTTAACTTCATCATACTTCTCCTGGCGATTCTATTGTTTTTCTTCGTCCTATGTTACTATTGAAAATATAAATACTCACCGATGTTCACGATGATAGTAAGCAGATATGTACAGCCTTCAAAATTGCAGAACGACAGCTAAGAGATGGGAGTCTTTTATCGTTATGTTGAGCTTCTAAATGTCACCCACTTTCTAGAAATCATCTTGATACGTCATATGAAGCAGTTGCGTATCAACAAATATGACGAACTTTCCTGCTAGTCATTTCCTCGAGTTGTTTGCATTTTGTACGCCGATAAACTTTCGAAAGAATGCACAATTCTTCCGAAAAAAATGGCAGAGACGACAACGTACACGATTCTAGATCTATTCAAAATTTTGTGTGCAACACTTACAGCTTGATTGTTTTGTTCGTTCTAATATTGATGTGCAGAATTTATCATACAAAAATTTTCTTTCCCCATGATTCATTGTGTTTTTTACATGTGTACAATTTATGAATGTTCACTATGTTCCGTTTTCTATTTTTGCGTTCTATAACGTAGAATTTGCGAAGAGACCAATCATTTTATTAAATCAATTTGTACAATAAGGGATGTTCTTGTTATTGTCTATTAAATGTGAACTATATCCTACTGAGAAATATAAATATGTCCTGTTAACAAAAAATAACTTTCAATGACCTACTGAGCACTTTATTTTCACTTTAAGTTTCAAGTATTCACCGAAGACATTCTTTTAAATGCTCTGAAGAAATTTAACTTTAATTTTTACGTTTTTCACTGAAATTAACTGTTAAATTCTGTTTTGTTAAGCTCAATGTGCCACCCCTAATACGTACACAATCACCTCGACGACGCAAAACGATAACTATTTTCCATGGAAGAGGACAAACACGAAGATCGATAGGCAGATGAAGAAGTCTGTTTGTTCGATGATGTTCAAGGAAAATTTGCCTTCTGTCACAATCCAATATCAATGTGACTTCATCACCTGCTCGAATAATTCTGTCTCTTCCAATCCATTGATTCTTACCATTCGCAATAGGGAAACCCAAGTTCGACGAAACGTCGGCGGACGGTGGTTCAAAGTCTCGTGCCGACATCTCTTGTGGCGCACCATTTATGCCGAAAAAGGGAGAATTGTAAAACATTTCTTGAATCCGAAAGCGAATATGATGTGTCCCAGACGAGTATAAATTGACACCACTAATGCTCGAGTCACCAGTCCAAGAACCTGAATATGTCGCCAGGAGACCGTCTTCTGATACTGTAGCTGGCCCGGCAGCTTCTTCGAATTTCTCACGGACAAGTAACGGCGGCTCTTGAATAGAACGAAGACTTATCTCGGATGTGAAGAATGAGCGAGCAGTAGAGCGTGACTGCTGTTGATCACGATTCTCTCCCACTTTGATTAAATGAATAGGTGGTATATCGTCATCTTCGATAATCTCGGTATTCAGCGGCTTTTCAATTCTACTTCGAAATTCTTCCAGCTGGTGATTCCATCTCTTGAAATCAATTTCTGTATAATCTTCTGATTCTCGGCTTGATTCGAGTTCATCGGTGATCATATCAAGTGTTTTTTCAATTTTATTCTTAATTCGTTCAATCGACTGTCGTAGATCGGCGCGAGCTGTTTCTGCGCAGTTTCGAATTTTTGTGATTTGTTCTTGTTCCCACGTATCAATAGCACATAGAAGAGGATGTGGACCGTTTCCTCGAATCAAATCTCGTTGTAGAAGCTCATAATCTTTAGTAAGTTTGTCCATATCTTTAGAGAGTTCTTCTCGATGTGTAGTTGTGTGTTGAGCACAAAAAAATTGTCGACACCCGTGACACATAAAAACATCACCGGCATTGTGACATGTTGCACAAGATTTATTCGTAGCAGCTGACATCATCTTTCACTATTATTACAAAATTAGACTTCACTTTTCAATAACATCATTGAACACAACGTACATACGATAGTAACACTATTGTCGGTCAGAGTTGTACAATCCGAAACAGTCATCACTTCTTGCTGAGATGAATGCAAAACAAGAAGTATGTTGACGAAGCCTACCATCAGAATAAATCAATGAATTTGTTTGGTCTCACAACGCGCTACGAAAAGGAGAGAGAAAAAAAGATGAAAGACGAGAACGGTAACTATCAACGACGGCAAGAGAACGTATGTTGTCATAGATGTAGGACAAGATCATGCATTGAAAGTTTCATAACTACGATCACAAGAAGCCCCTGAATCGAAAAAGCATGTATCTTAAACATTAAGAAACGAAGATAGAATTTAACAACATATTGAATCGTAAATCTTCAGAATGGGACAACGCATAATATTATATTACTCTAGATTTAAAATGCATTCAACGTTGAAAAGGGCATATTGAGAAAGTATGACTTTAAATGTGTCATATAAGTCCAAACTTGGTTTGAGGAATTATGTAAACATTAGTTCTATTCATTTTGATAAGCACACCTGGGAGAAAGGTAAATGCTATCATCTCTCTGTTGCATTGCTGTTTGCGAATAATCATCAATTACTACGCTATTTATTTTATTTTATTTCTTTACGACAATACAAAGTTTGTTTATCCATTGACAAATATGTGCTTCTTCGGATTATCAAGAATATCAACAGAAACCTTCTATGAAACTCCTCAAAATTGAATTTGAGCAGAATTGACGTAGACAAAATATTCGAGGTCAATGTTCTTTCTTTGTCTTTCACACATTTAGAATGAGACAAACAAACTTGATATCTCTGGTGAACTAAAATAAAATCTTGTTAATTGAAATGTTTGATTTTTTCATTCTATACAATCTTTTTTTTTGTCAAAAATAAATAAAGTTCGAAAGAGCTATCGAAAACAAGTAACTATAGTTTACTGTAATCATGTAATATTAAAACCAGTAATCGATTGACACTGTTTTTAAAGATATCTCTCTCACTGATTATCGATGTTTGTTTAATTTGAATGACTTTTTCGAGAATAGAGATTAAAATTTTATAATGTTTGTCCTGAATATGATCGTGTAAACTATAGTCGAAAAGATTAGCGCTTATATTGTCCAACTAGTTAACCACGCCACTTTATATATCATTCGATAGAGAATTTCACGGGCTACGAAATGATATATATAATACTGAGGGCAAATGGGGCGTGGGCGTCCTAACACAAGAAATACTAGCCACCACCTCCACAAATCCATAGGTCAGCAGCGTTTATCGCTTATATTGTCCAATCAGTTTATCGTTGACCACGCCTAAGGGCTATTCAAAACAGTATTTAGATTGGTTTCAGCTGTTGCCAAAATATCAAAAAGAAAGGAGTTCTTGTGATAATGACACACAATACTACATAGATAATACCCCAACTCTTCTTTTCCATATCTTTAATGAAACTGGATCCACCTTTTTGGATGTTCTGATCAGCTCACTTTGTAGAGATTTTCAAGGGCTATTCAATGGTATGTTTTCGCAAAATACATAATTTTTCATTATGGCAGAAAACTTACCAAAAGAGTGTTTAAAGCACTTAGATAGTTGAAAATCATTATATCGGCCACGTATTCCAACTATTCGTCCATGTGGGCATACTTTTCAAAGACTTATTAATACGTAGTTTTGAAGCCCGTGAAATTCTCTATCGAATTATATATAAAGTGGTGTGGTTAACGATAAACTAGTTGGACTATATAAGCGATAAACGCTGTTGACCTATGGATTTGTGGAGGTGGTGGCTAGTATTTCTTGTGTTAGGACGCCCACGCCCCATTTGCCCTCAGTATTATATATATCATTTCATAGCCCGCGAAATTCTCTATCGAATGATGTATAGTAGTTTAGGTTTTCTTTGACTGAAAAAATATTCTAAATAAAGTTCATTAAAGGGGAGAAAAGTTTGAATGCAGAATTTTTTCCATGGGGCTGAAAATGGTTTTTTTGAGATGCTAGTTTTAATCAGAGAAAAACTACATCAGACTGGTGAATATGAGCTTGATCTGAGAGGGGGCCGATTTTGCCTCTTATCGACCCCCGTCCTTTCACATCAAAAGCCACAGCGAAATAGTAGTTTTTCTATCAGTTGTCATACATTTTTTCATTAATTCTTAAATTTCGGGTATAGTAGTGCTTTCAGTAAAAGCCCCATAACTCCATCAAAATAAAAGCTTTTTCGGTCGAGTTTGCTGGTTTTTATCAGAAATGATTGCTCTTCTCTATCTAACTGCAAAATCAAACTTCAATCGTCTTTTTCGTTTCTTGATTGAGCACATTGTTGGAAGCGGGGAGGTTGTCAACTTTTGATGTATTTTGTAACTTCGTTCTCGAGCACGCTCTAAAAAGGTTTTTTTTACAGATCACAAGAAAGAGCGCAAGAAAGAGCACATGAAAGTTTACATTTTTTTCGACTTTCATCTAATCTTTTCTTGATTGAAGTTCTGAAATTATAGTTTCAGTATGATTTTGTGGAGTATTGAATGGGGAATCTTTTAAAAAAAAATTTGACCGATAGCGTCAAAACTGGCGGTGTGCGTCGCTAAAAGATCGAGCGAAGTCAGGGCGAAAAAATGGTTGATTCAGTTTTTCTTACTTTTAAAACGTTAATACAAGAAGTAATTTTTGATTTTTAAAAGTTTACATTTTTTCGACTTTCATCTACTTGGCCTAGTGTTCTCGATTGAAGTTCTAAAATGATAGTTTAAGTATGATTTTGAAGAGTATTGAATGGCGAATCTTTTAAAAGAAATTTGACCGATAGCGTCAGAACTGACTAAGTTATGGCTAAAACAGAGTAGTGTAATTCTTTATGGCCCACGCCCACCCGTTATATTCAACACTACCACCCCTACAATAATAAGAAAATAGACAAAATTGATGCTTTCATATACATGTGGCGCTGTATTCATTTTAATTATTGCTTCACACTTTCTTTTCCGTTGGGTTTTCTGTATGTTTTTTATCCTGCATTATTTTTCTTCACACTTTTTCTATGTATATTTTCTGTTCTTTCTTTTTTTGCTTTTTTTGCCATTGGTTTCTTCATAGTTTTCAGCTAATGGCTTATTACCATACTTTTTTCCTACACTTTTACAGTTTGATGACTTTTTACCAGGCCTTTCCCACAGTTTTTCCCGCATTGTTTTTTTCAGTGTACATATTAAAGCCTAAGAAAAACACTATAGGTTGGTTAATAAAAAAATGTTAATAGTTAATCCGGCTTCTAGTGATTTCTGGGAAAATCAAATAATGCGAAAATTTATGTTTTTTGGGTGATAAAACGGTAACACTGAGTAGAATACTGTAACTCTAATCTCTTAACAAACATTTTTCTTGTTCTTTCTATCAACATGCACGAACATTCATTTTCACCATGGGTATTCAATATTTTCACTTATTTTTCCTATACATTTTTCTTTATTTCTATTTAACTATAATAATACACGAGTTGCGATTATGCATAAAATGATAAGCGAATTGATATTTGTTAAGCTTGCTTCATTTAATTGTATTGCAAATTGTTGCATTTCGACGTCAATCACTTTGTCAACATATTTCATTGCGTCATTTCCATTACAAAAATTTCGATTACATTGGTACGTAACACTATCAGTGTTAATTCGATTATTATTATTCGACAATGCTCGACCAAAATAGACTTTTAAAGAGTTATTATTAAATTCGTTCTCGTCACAAATTTGTTCTAAATTACTCCTGGTACGCGAGAGTTTACATCGTCTAATACACATTTCTATATTGTCACTTTTAGTTCTACATACAGAAGTACGATTACGATTGTTGTCATATAACACCATTGAAAAATTATCAAATAATTGTGCAAAATTAAAGTTTTGAATTAATTTTGATAAAATATTCATTGTATAAGTTAATTCACATTTATCTTCTGTCAAACATAAATATTCTATATACATGTTACTCCTTATCTTCGTTTCAAAATGAAATGTTGTTGTCATACTCAATGAAAATGGCCAATATGTCAGGACAGATTCTTGGTTTCCAGCAAACGTAATATTAATTGTATGTTTAAAAAAATTTATATTTATAGCAGCCGTACAAGCTGATGTACTATTGATCAACATTATTTCACAGTTTGACGTGTTCATTGTTGGATACTCCTCAAATAGAAGATTGAATGTACACTTTTTCAAACATAGTCGTGTTTGTACAATTGTAATTGCGTAATAGATCAAAACTAGTTTTACAACGATCATTTTTGGATTAACACAGTATATTGACGGATGAAGAAAATAATATTCTATTCCTATCAAGTTACTCTCTCTCACACATATTATTCATTCTAATTTTGTCTTCTAAGCTATGTGACTAAATTGTAAATATTAGAGCCGTATCAAATAAGGGATATCTATATCTTATCACTTCTCGGCAAATGTGAGCAAATGTCTATATAGACATTTGCTCACATTTGCCGAGAAGTGAAAAGATATAGATATCCCTTATTTGATACGGCTCTATTAACAAAACAAAAAGAACATATCAGATCACATTGCACTTTTCTTCTTTTTTTCATTGACAAATAATTAATCAGAGATTAATCTGTATCTTACGACTAATGACGCATCTCTTATACAATATTGTAGATGCATAAGTAACCTGCTCCAAATTCATAATTAAAACACCAGTTTGTTTTCGGCTTAATCATACATCATTCGTTAGACAATTTCACGCTGATCAAGAATATCTGGCTTTTAGTCTTTCTAGGGCACATTATCAGTGAAAACAATTCAAAACACTTCAAAGCCTTTTTTAAAAGCTGCATAGCTCGCGTCTACCTCATTTCGATGCTTCGAAACTATATGTTTTTCTTATTCAGCGTTGAAAGCTGCATCTAGAAAACTATATTTCAAGGTTCCACATCAAAAAATATTTTCTGGATGCGAAACGGGACCGATATATATCTTTGGTTTCAAGACACTCATCTTGCATATTCAGCGTAGCTCTTTGGTTAACACATGAAGCCAAGTTTCATTATGTCATTCGATTCGCCTTGGAACGTAGAAGAAAAGTATGAATCGTTTCTTTTGAAATTCCTTTCCGTTGCTGGAAAAAATCCTTTTTTCTCTATCAGAGGCGAAAAAGTTAGAATTCTGCTCGTAATTCTCAATGTCCTCCATCAGAAATTCACTTTAATGCAATGGAAATATCATATTGGGAATGAGGAGAAAGAAACCAATCGAATGATGTGTATCTATATCATATTGGTACCCAGGTCGCAGGAAATCAGACATAAATGAGATATGTATGGCTCATTTATGATATGAAGTGAAAATGATCATATGATAATCCTAAAATGATTTAAATATAAGCTTAAAATGATATCATATTTGAATCATTTTAAGACCATTTCATAAAATGATATAAAGATGATGTATATATGATATAATTTGTAAGAATGATCTAAATATGATCCTAGTATGATCATCTAAAAATGATCTATTTAT